GAAGCAGAGAGAAGAAGATCTGCTCCAGGAACCTGTGAAGCAGAAATATGAAGATCTGCCCCAGGAACCTGTGAAGCAGAAATACGAAGATCTGCTCCAGGAACCTGTGAAGCAGAAATATGATGATCTGCTCCAGGAACCTGTGAAGCAGAAATACGAAGATCTGCTCCAAGAACCTGAGAAGCAGACGGAGGAGAATGAGCATAAAGATTGGAGAGAAAGGGAAGTGGAGATGCAGAAGGCCAGGAAGGAGCACATGGACAGAGAGCAGCGGCGGAAGAGGGAGAGGATGAGAAAAATGTTTACTTCAGGACAGAGCTGGTTTACATTGGAGGATGGAGCTCGGTGCAGGCGCTTTGGAGGAAGAAGAACGAGAAACAACATCTCCAGTGAAGAAAAGAAAGAAGAAAACAATGAGCTGGAGAACAAGCAAGAAGATCTCCAGAGTTTGAGCTGGCCAGTTCCTCCAAATGGAGGAGGCTTGCTCATCAGTGTGAAGCCCCTCCACCCCTGCGCACAACCTGAGGAGGAACTTATAGCCTTGACTCCCTCCACAGGTGACCCCACCCCAGATCTCACTACGGAGGACAGCGTGGAGGAGCAGGAGATCACTGCTGCTCCTGAGGAACCCAGCCCACAGCCTCAGGCTTTCAGCGAGCCACAGAAAGACTCTCAGATCTTCACTGATGGCTCCAAAGTCACCACTGAGGAGGAGGATGAGGCTGAGGAAGCGATGAGCAGCCAGCTGGACGACCTAAAGGAATCTGTGCTGCGGCCACATTCGAGGGGAACTATGGTCCAGTGCTGCGTCCAGCGTGATAGGACGGACAAGAGCGGTCCCACCTACCACATGTTCCAGGAGGTCGAGGATGGCACAAAGGTCAGAGCAGTCAGAGATACACACAGCATCACAAACTGCTTTACTCTGCTTTAGGGATGTACTGATATAAAATTTCTGGGACGATATCGATTAAACCAGATTAACATCTCGTTGTGTCCGACATGAATACCGATACCAATAACCGATCATTTAGAGTTTACTGCATTTTAACACACTATAATCCATATATGAAGTGCAGAAAGTGCAAGACAGGTCAGAACTCGGACGGATCATTGATCAACAGTGGAATCAGACAGTTACTATGAACATTTACATTAATTTATGGAAATATTTTACATTATTTAGCAGATGCTCAGAGACACTTACAGGGTAGATGCTGGTAATGCCGGTGAGCACTCAGTGAAAATAAGGTTTTAAATTAAATCAAATCAAATCAAATCAAATCAGATTTATTGTCACATCACAAGAGTACAGGGACACAGGTGAGTGAAAAACTTGAGTGCGAGTTCCACAAATTATGCAGAGAACAGTATTTACACATAGATAAACAAAACTATAGATAGGATAGAAGAATAGATAAAACCAATTTAACTAAAATATATACATATAATCTTACACAATAACTTAAAAATAATAATATTGCACCGAGACATATAATATTGCACTGGGAATGTAGAGTGAGTGTAATCAACTATATACTATATATAGTAATGGATATTACAATGCTATGTAGATGTGCAAGTAATCACACTAGGTGTGGAGGTAGAAGATGGTACAGTAGGTGGCAGAGTATTTAGTAAAGTGCAAGGTACAGGAAGTTAAGTGGAAGCGCAGGGGGAGAGTATTGTCTTTGGATAGGTATTCAAAGTCCAGCTATGCAAGTAAAGTGCGGGAGTACAGTGGGTGCACGTACGTGTAATGGGAAGGGTTGGGCTGGGCAGAGCAGTGATTACTGGCTGTTCAATAGCCTGGTTGCATGGGGGAAGAAGCTGTCTTTGAGCCGACTGGTTCTGGCTTTTAAGCTTCTGAGCCTCCTACCACTCGGCAGCTGAGAGAACAGACAGTGACTAGGATGGGAGGGGTCCTTCATAATCCTTCTGGATTTCCTCAGGCAGCGACTGGTGTATAAATCCAATAGGTTAGGGAGCTGAACCCCGGTGATGGACTGTGCTGTCCGCACCACCCTCTGCAGAGATTTCCTCTCACGAACAGTACAGTTCCCGTACCAGGTGGTGATGCTGCCCGTCAGGATGCTTTCCACAGTGCAGGTGTAGAAGGTCTTAAGGATGCTGGGGTTCAGGCCAAACCTCCTCAGCCTTCTGAGGAAGTAGAGGCGCTGGTGGGCCTTCTTCACCACCTGTGAGGTGTGCACTGCCCATGTCAGGTCCTCGCTGATGTGAACACCGAGAAACTTAAAGCTGCTGACCCTCTCTACCGCAGTCCCATTGATGGAAATCGATGGGTGTACTCTCTCCTGCTTCCTGAAGTCCACGATCAGCTCCTTGGTCTTACTGACGTTTAGAGAGAGGTTATTCTCCTGGCACCAGTTTTCCAGGATTTTAACCTCCTCTCTATAGGCCGATTCATCGTTGTTGGAGATCAGGCCCACAACTGTTGTGTCGTCAGCAAACTTTATGATGACGTTGGAGCTGTGTCTAGCAGTGCAGTCATGGGTGTACAGGGAGTACAGGAGCGGGCTGAGCACACAACCCTGGGGGGCTCCGATGTTGAGGGTCAAAGAGGAGGATGTGATACTTCCCATCCTTACCACCTGCCGTCGGTCCGTCAGGAAGTTCAGGATCCAGCTGCACAGTGTGCTGTTCAGACCCAGATCCCGGAGCTTGCAGTCGAGCCTCGAAGGAACGATTGTGTTGAATGCTGAACTGTAGTCTACAAACAGCATTCTCACATACGTGTCCTTCTTTTCCAGGTGGGAGAGGGCAGTGTGCAGGGTCAGGGCGATTGCATCGTCGGTGGATCTATTCCGCCTATATGCAAATTGCAGTGGGTCCAGGGTGGCAGGCAGTGAGGAACAGATGATATCTCTGACCAGCCTCTCAAAGCATTTGCTTGCGATGGAGGTCAGGGCAACAGGTCGCCAGTCGTTCAGACAGGTAATACTAGCTGTCTTTGGAACTGGCACAATGGTGGCTAGTTTGAAACTAGCTGGCACGACCGAGAGAGACAGTGAGGTGTTATAGATGTCTGCAAAAACTCCTGCTAGTTCCCTGTAGCAGGCTTTAAGCACTCTCCCGGGAATGCCATCTGGTCCTGCTGACTTGCGTGGGTTCACCCTCTTGAAGGCTTTGCACACATCAGCTACGGAGACGGAGGGGGCGTTGGGATCAGCGGTGGGCGGGGCGCTCTCCAGTGGTGCTGCGGGAATTCCGTCGAAGCGAGCGTAGAAGTTATTAAGCTCGTCCGGCAGATCAGCGCTGGTACTGGGCAGAGTGCGAGAGGCAGTTTTATAGTCAGAGATTGTATTTAACCCCTGCCATAAGCTTCGTGTGTTGGCTGTGTTGAACTGTGCTTCCACTTTCATTCTGTACGCACGTTTAGCTGCTCTGATGGATTTACGGAGAGCGTAGTTGGATTGCTTGTACTCCTCCGTATTTCCCGCTCTGAATGCAGCGCTGCGTGCGCTGAGGGCGGAGCGAACCTCACAGTTCAGCCAGGGCTTCTGATTGGGGTAAACGCGGACTTGTCTGCAGGGCACTACGTCATCAACACACTTGCGTATGAAGGCGGTGACTGTGTCTGCGTACTCGTCCACGCTGCCCGACGAATCACGGAACATTTCCCAGTCCACATGATCAAAACAATCCTGCAGCATAGCGTCTGATTGGTCAGACCAGCGGCGCACCTCCCTGGTAGTGACCGGCCCCCGTTTCAGCTTCTGCCTATAGGTGGGCAGGAGCAGGATGGAGGAGTGATCTGATTTGCCGAACGGGGGTCGGGGGAGGGATTTGTAACAGTTCCGGATGCTGGAGTAAACATGGTCTAAAATCCTGTCTTTCCGAGTGAAACATGTTACGTGCTGGAATAATGTCGGACAGTAGGTTCGCAGGTTATTCCGATTAAAGTCCCCCGCAACAATAAGTGCAGCCTCCGGGCGCGCGGTCATCTGCTTGCTGATAGCCTCGTGTAGCTTCCCGAGCGCGAGGTCCGAGTCCGCCTGCGGGGGGATGTACACCGCGGCCAGACAGAGTCCCATTATCTCACGGGGCAGCCACGCCGGCCGGCAAAACACGATGAGATATTCCAAATCCGGCGAGCAGAAAGACTCGATGAAATGTACATTCCTCCGATCACACCAAGCGTTATTGATCAGAAAACATACACCTCCTCCTTTGCTTTTCCCGGAGAGCTGCTTGGTTCTATCGGCGCGGTGCAGAGAGAACCCGGCGGGTTCGATGGCATTATCAGGGACCTCATCAGATAACCACGTTTCTGTGAGGCAGAGAACGCTGCAGTCCCGGATCTCTCGCTGGAAGGCGACCCGTGCATGAAGCTCACACAACTTGTTTTCCAAGGACTGCACGTTAGCCAGTAATATGGTGGGAAGAGGCGGCCGATGGGCACGGCGTCTGAGTCTGACGAGCACGCCGGCTCTCTTGCCTCTTTTCCGGCGTCTTCGACGGGTGCGTGGCCGGGCGGCCCAGATGAGTGGCGCCTCTCCAGTGTTAGTAAACAAGGGATCGGCGTTATGGAACTCAAAGTCCGGTTTCCGGTGAGTGATCGACGATCTGATTTCCAGAAGTGTTTGTCGGTCGTAGGTGATAAAACCAGTAACATTTAGTGCAAAAAGAGTTAAAAACAAACACAAAAACAACAAAAAACTGCAAAAGTAAGCGGGAGCTCGCAACACGGCAGCCATACTCGGCGCCATCTTGAAATGAAATTATCAACCGTAGCTCCAATATAATAATAATAAGAGCTCCGTTTATCATCAAAACATCTTCATTTTTACAGCTTCATACTAACTGTTCATTTTATACACACATCTTCAAAGAAATTGGTTTAATATGAATATTATTATGTGAGTGATCCACCGATATATTGATCAGCGCTGCTCTGCTTTTTCTCTCTAACGGTCAGTCCAGCTCTAACTGATCTGTTTGTCTTTCCTTCTCAGCAGTTACTGTTGGTGGCGAGGAGGATGAAGAAGAACAAGGCGTCTTCTTATGTGATCTCAGTGGGCGAGTTTGACGAGGCTGAAAGCGTTGTGGGGACAATGAGGTACGTACAGATTTCGTACAGAACCAAGCGTCAGTGTTGGGGGGTTGTGGAGGGGCTTAGCCCACCGAGAAGACCCCAAGATGTAGACATTTGATTTGTTTTCTGTCGTTGTATTGTGGCCAGTCAGAATCCTGACACACTCGATGTCGTTCTTGAACATGTGAGGTGGTTCCAAACTGCTTTCAGTTCTTTAGCAGCACCCTCTCTCAGCATGTCTGTATCATGTGTTCTAAAGGTTCTCTGTGTTCTACTGTAGATCCAATCATCATCGGACTGAATTCACGCTTTGCAATGATGGCAGAAACCCTGCGGGAAGCCATGGAGCTCTGCTGGAGGAGAGCCACACACAGGAGCTCATGGCTGTCAGCTATGTGAGTATATACACTTAGACTGTAGGGATCTATAGAGAACCAGACTGCTGATGATGTCACTGTAACACACACTCAGCTGCTGTATTGGTTCTCCCTCTACCTTGTAAAATGAATGCATGTCTATGGACGCAGTGTTCATATTCAGAAAATTGGAGATATCCCTGCTAGAAAAAACAGCATAGAACATCTTATGTTGTGTGTTGATGCTGGTATGCTGGTCAACCTGCATGACCATACTGGGGTGACCAGCTAAGCCAGAACCAGACCAGCATAGACCAGCTGGGATCAGGCCTTTGCAGGTTTTTTCAGCAGGAAAAACAATAATTCTGAGGTGTACTGCATTTTTCCTGCAACAATATCCAATTTATGTTCTGTAGCAAAACAGTTCATGTATAAATATTTTTACTACTATAACCTAATATAACCTGAGCATTCACATAGCTTACTTTGAGTATTGAACATATTTGTCTTGTAATTTTTATACTGAATTTTGACAGTGTGAAACCTAGAACTACAGTGAATGTAAAAGGTGTGAAATCCCACTAACAGTCTTTGTGTAAGAGTGTAGTTTAGTTTAAGCAGCTCTCCACTGACCAGCTCAGCAGATAGCTCAGACAGCTAACAGGCTAAGAGGCTCTGTCAGTAACACAGAGTATTACGCTTTAAGCTGAAATATTTTCTAAATATTTCACTAAAGACTGCTAAACAGAGTGAAGAACATGTTATGTGTTTCTTACCAGCTCAAATATCCTCACATCTGTACAGCCGCCTGCTGTAAATAGTATTAAATCCATGAAGAGAAGTGAAAGTGCACCTCAGTTAGTTTCGTGCTAATGTTATATAGTGTTTCCCATAGAGACGCTGGTGAAAATGAGCGTCTTAGGAATGACAGAAATACAACAAAGACTTTTCAAAAAGTAAATATATATTCCCATATTAAAGGTCATATATATATATATATGTATATATATATATATATATTCTTGCTGGGGGCTGCCCAGTGCCACAAATGACTGGACACATGTTGTGTGTTGTCTCTTTTAGGAGTCAATATTGGGGTTCATAAAGTTACAGCAGATGTCCGCCATCATTCCTCACATGGACAGGAACTCTCAGCGTGTTTGTTTGGGTGATGTAAGTTTGAGATACAGACGAGCCCAGATTATCATTCTCACACACTCACTCTTCCTCTCACAGCTCTTAGCCACTCTCAGCTGATTTTAATGAGATTTTACTGATAATGTAAAAATATCACATTATTGAAATGTATTAGATTTTCAGGCTGATTATGTAATATTATATTAATATCTTATTATAATATTATTATTTCATTATTGATCAGCACATTCTTAGTAATTTTCAACCAAAATTTTTGGTGTTGTTACATGATCTGTCTTAAAAGATTGTGTATTAATATATGTGTGTTTATTTATCATTAAAGGGATCTTTATTAAAGAAAATGAAGAACAATCAGGGAGCAGGGTTGATTAAACTGGAGACAATAGTGCCGGCGTGGAACGAGGAGAAGCAAGAGTATGTGATGGACTTCAATGGACGAGTCAAAAAGGGTTCAGTGAAGAACTTCCAGCTCGCCTGTTCTGATAGTCGTGAGTTCAGCAGCATTTTCTCTCAGCGTGTCTGTGTTTGGATGGATGTTTTCCTCTTTCTTTACCTTCTGTGTCTCTTTCTCTCTCTCTCTCTCTCTCTCTGCTGTAGCTGTTTAGCTCTCTTTCTGTCTTGGTGGTCTCTCCCTCTCCTGTTGGGGGTCTAAAGAGTCTTTTTGTGTCTCCACAGCGGACAAGTTGGTGATGCAGTTTGGTCGTGTAGATGAAAATCGCTTTGTGCTGGACTACAGCTCCCCCTTGTGCGCTCTGCAAGCCTTCACCATCGCCCTGTCCTGCTTCGATGAATGACCGCAATGCCACATGTGCTGTCCACATCTCTCTCTCTGTGACATCCGCTTCAGCCTTCAATAAAAGCAATAAAACTAGAAAAGTGCATTTACTGATGGAAATGATGAGTGTGCAGCTTAAGCAGGTCCCAGGTGGTTACTAGGGTATTGCTAAGTGGTTTCTATGTTATCCTAGGTGGTTGCAGTGATATCCAAGGGGGTTGGTAGGTGGTAGCTACTCAGCTGATATGGTATCTGTGGTGTTTGCTAGGTGGCCAATATGGTGTTCCAGGTGGTTGCTAGGGTGTTGTTAGGTGGTTGCTATAGTATCCCAGGTGGATGTTTAGGGATTGCTATGTAGTTGCTACGGTATCAGGAGTAGTTGTAAGGGTCTTGCTAGGTGGTTGCTATGGTGTGGTCCCCCAGGTGCTTGCTAGGGTGTTACTAGGTGGTTGCCATAGTATCCCAGCTGATTGCTATGGTGGTACCTTGTGGTTGCTGCGGTATCCTACATGGTTGATACGGTGTTGTTAGGTGGTTGCTATGGAAATTCACATGCTTAATAGAGTGTTGGTAAGGTACTTTTATTGTGGTGATAAGTGGGGTGTATTAACTTTTGCCCTCATAGTTCTGCCATTCACACTTACGGGGGGAAAAATGGGATGGTGGTGGGGCTGGTTGCTATACGCAAACTGTACATCAAATCAAAAGCTGTATACTAGAACACCATTCCCGATCACACTGAACATTCCAGACTTGGTTTGGTGTCAATATCCCAAAAACTGCAGGATGAGTTAGCGACAAAAATCACAGAATAATAAAATAAAAAAAAATCTGTACACAGATTCTAAAAGAATATCTGTGTACAAGAACTCACAAATAGAAATGCATTTCAAAAACAAACAAACAAGCAATCAAAATTGGATTTTCATCTGTAATGATGCTCTTTTCCGTCTATTTTCCATCAGTCAAATTTGCTGCAGCCACAGCAGATATCAGTGTGAGCCCACTCAAAAGGAAATTCCACCATTTTTTCAAAGTATTGCATAATTAAATGTTTAAGATGTAAACAGAGTTGGTCAGTGGTTTGGTGTGAAATGCTCCATTCTAGAGAAACTTACCAAGTCAGAATTGTTCACAGTGGTGGTGACAAGAACCAGACGTCCACCTCTAAAAGCTCCCTCACAGAAAGTTATTACATGACATGGTTATGAATACACTGCCTGATGTCTGAGATGTTGTTTTGCAACAGAATATAGAAGTTCTTGGTGTGAAATGTGTTTTTTTAAACACGTAGTGCGTTATGAGGAATTTCACATTAAACCACTCGGTACTGACTCAAACATTGAGTTATGAAGAAATTGTGAAAAATTGGTAGAATTCTCCACAAACTGCCACAGCACAGACCACAGCGGGACGTGTTGGGTACCTCATATTTCCCACCAATTAAACAGAAATTTTTTCTTTGTATAAAACATTTATTCTTTTGGTGTATTGACTTTTATATTGTATTATTTATTCTTTTTTTATTATTTATTCTTTTTTTAAGTGCAGTTAAAAGTAGAAAAAATTCAACATCACATGAACTGACAGGTAAATGCAATCCTGCTTCAAGACTGGAAATTACTTAAAAAAAGAAAGGAAAAAAGTAAAATCACAGAGAAGAGCAAAAGCACTACTTGGTAGTTGGTGGTAGACGGGAGACGGTGATGGAGTTACTGATTGGCTGAGTAAAGGTGTTTATCAGCAATTATCCTAAAAGATATTTGATTTTAAATTTTAAAGGTGGATTTGTTGAAGGCCTGTACAGTCCAAAAAAGGTGAGGAGAAAAAAAGCCAGCCAAAAATACAACCTGTAAACCTTTCGACAGTGTGTGATGAACTCAGACATTCCACATAAGCGTCATTAAGCATCATCGTGTTTATCTTCTTGATCTTCCACCCCACACTATTACGACTGCTGTTAAAACAATACTGACATATTTTTACTGTATATATTTCATATCCCTCCATTATTGAAGCTAGACTTAAAATACCTCCATTAAAATACACTTATTTCCATTCTCTTTAGTGCCTATAACATTACAGTGCATTTATATCTTTATATATTTGAAGATAAACAATCTGCTATTTACGGTTTCCATGGCGCCACCAGCTACAGCACAAACGATACAAGCTTACATTCAGAAATTAAACACTGCATTTAGAACATGAGAATCTGAAATACATTCAAAGAAAGGCATGATAGCATTTGATACGTTTGGCAGCACAACTGCTCAGGTCCGTTCTCATTATCTAAGGGCAACTCCACTGATTTTTTGAAATTCTCACATAATTAAGTGGTCAATATGTAAACAGAGTCATTCAGAGTGGTTTGGTGTGAAACGCTCCGTTCTAGAGAAACTTACTGAGTCACAATTGTTTAACGTGGTGGTGATAGGAACTAGACGCCCACCTCTAAAAGCTCCCTCACAGAAAGTTATTACATGAAATGGTTATGAATACACTGCCTGATGTCTGAGACATTGTTTATGATAGTTTTAAGAACTTAAAATCCTGTTATGGTGGAGGGATACATAATTTGCATGGCAATGTGAGGCAAAATAGTCCCCAAAGAAAACTTACTATTTCAGATTCACTTCACTATTTTCCCATCATCAACATTCCATATAAAACTCAGGAGACACGTGTAGGTTCACTGGTGGTTTTGGAAAGTAAATAAAATGTCTATATTTGTGTTGTAGTCATGGCAACCCCTGATTCCTATCACCACCACTGTAAAGAAATCTGAACCATTTCACTCCAAACGACTCTGAACCACTCTGTTTACATCTTAAACACTCTGTTATGCAGACATAAAAAAAGTCTGTGGAATTCCCCTTTAACTATTTATATTTAACCACCTAATACTTGATATTGTTTTAAAACTGTAGCGTCAGCTGTAGTGAACGCCTTCCACACTACAGATATGAATGGAAACAGTAATTAAAATCTTCTTTACGTGTAATTCCAGGTTTTTTCTGATAAAATAACAAACACCTGAACTCTTTGCTTCTAAGACGTTCCATAATTTTCCTCATAGACTATTCCTTATTGATAACAACAGCTTCTAACAATATGTTTTGTTCTATTTTTCTGTCCTGTACAATCATGTAGTCTTTATCTCTTAATTACAAATTTTCTTGAGTCAAATGTTCTGGACTGGTCCTCTATATGTACATGGTTTGTGTCCAGGTTATTTTGATTTTTTCATATCATAATGCTGCTTTGCATGGACCTCTCAACATTAAAGAGCAGCAAATACTCAAAAGTTTGTTATATCAGTCCTCTTATCACAGTATGTCCGCTTGTTGTTGATGGTATGTGGAGTCTTCATTCAGAATTCAGTCTTGAATTCGCATTTCTGTGATCTGTGACAAGTCTGAAGTTGGCCTCTTACTCAACAGCTTTTTATTTGAATTTTCCGCTCCACCTTAAATGGTGCTGCAGTTACATGCGCCTCTTTTCTGCTGTAGAGCCAAACGGCCATTCTGTGCAGGTGAGAAACTTGTTACATTTTCTTTTTCCATCTTCTATGCTGCTAAATCAGGTCCAGGAAGAAAACTATGCAGGACAGTGGCTTAGTGATGACTAACAGGCTAACAGCTTCATACATTACTGCAAATGTTCGATTCTGGCGTAACCAAGATTGTTTTGACAGCGTCAACATTCTCGCAGGGTCAGCTTCTCTGATGAAGATCTGTTAATTTACTGTAAAAACTTTAATAACTGTAAAAGTTGACACAAGGCAGGTGTAGCTAAAACCTGGCAGCTCAAGCCTCGGATACACTACACGACTTTTATAGTCCTAACAGATTGATTATAACTGCACACTGAGCGTTACAGCAGGGGGTGCTATAATGACAGCCAAGCTTGTCCAAGTGGTCTCGTACTGCCAGCATGTTTTCTCAGCTGCCACAGCAGACGAGCAGCTGAGTCTCACGCAAAGATGGCTTACATGAACATAAAAATATGATCCATTATGGCCTTTTTATTCCAGCAGAAGAAGTAAAGCAGCTCACTCTCCTCTACTGTCCACGTTTAGCTGTTGAGGCTGTTGGAATAACAATAGATCCTCTTTGATTTGTCCTCTAGTGCCCCCTTGAGTACTGAATGATTTAATCATCACTATAACATAAGAACACACGGTGAGTTCGTACAGACAGACCGAGCGTCTGCAGTGCGTTGGCCGAGCACTATCATGTGCGTTCAAGTACTTGAGTTTGTTTCTGGCCTTAAGAAGCATCAGGTAAACGTGTTTAAGTGAGGCTAATGGATGTAAAGATGAGATCAGTCTGGCAGTTTTTAGAGTTTTAGATGTACATAAACTCGGTGGTGCTCATTCAACTCATAAAAAATTTGCTACACATGAGTGTATTTTCACTCTTTATCGTTGTTTACTTGCTGTGTGTCTTTTACTTTCACTCTCAGTTTTATTGGCTGTCTGGTCAGATTGAGTCGCTGATTGTGATCAGAGTCGGGTCAAAAAAATCAGACGTTTGATATTCTCTGACTGGTCTGAAATGTGATCAGGTAAAAATATAAACATTGTGTAGTGTGACTCCAGACTGCAAAAAATAGTATCTTGTGAAGTGAAATGATCTTAAATGTAGTCAATATATCTAATATATATATATATAATATTTTGAGATGGTTGTGCTTATTATAAGACTATCTAGCTTTTTCCCTAGACATTACTTGCTTGTTTTTGCTGATTTTATCAAGTAAAATTATCTCACTATACTGGCAGATAATTTTGCTGGTTTCGAATACATTTCTTACAAAATGCAAAATTATCTGCCAACATAGTAACATAATTTTACTTGATAAATGTGTCCTCGACAAGCCAGTGTTTAAACATCAATTTACCTTGTGAAGATGAAGACGACCGCCTCTCATCTAATGTTAAACTGTTAGCTCTAGCATGAGCTCAGTTAAGGTTAAATTATTAGTCTTAGCATGAGCTCACCTACTGATTTACCACACAGTTGCTAAAAGATTCCCTTCACATTTGAATGACAGGCAGTTTGCTTTTTTAAAATGTAAATATATGTAGTCATTATACCTAAAGTCACACATAAAGACGTCTACCTCTCTAGCCGAAACACAGCATGTTTAGCTGTACCGCTTCACAGGAAAGCATCAACTTTTTATTTAAGTTTAGTCGTACACTGTGCATGTGCAAACTTTTAAGCCAAAGTTTAAGCTTAATGTGTCAACTTTTAACAGTGTCAACTATTTGCATCTAACACTCATTCACTCACTCGACTTTACGCTTTCAGAGACTTTATCATCCAAATGGAAGCACTGTGGATACTTTTAGCTTGCAAACTGAGCTAACATTAGCTCAGCACAGTAGGCTACAACTCCAAACACCACAGAGCAGGTTTGATTTTGGTTTTCTGTCACTCCGACACCAGTCACTCAACTCAGACATAAGTTTGTACTATCTAAGCTTGTACCCGCAGAGAAGCAGTTAGTCAGGATCGACTTCACTTTCTCAGATTTGAATCATTATCCATCTAAACTTGCGTCAGTGCAGCTTCACTTAGCCGAAATCGAAACTATTCTGTTGTGGACAGAGATGATGCTAACCAGAGCTAATGCTCCTTTCTGCTAGTTAGGAGCACCAGTTAACATTCAGCAATTCTTGTTAGATTGATGTTTTGACATTTATTAATTGATGGATTGAAAATTGTGCACTGCTTTAATTTATTTGGCGACTGTATAGGTGAACTGATTGTTTTTGGTTTTAAAATAATGAAGGATGAAGTGACCAAAAGCGACGGAAACGTAGAACCAATGAATAGTTACATCATTAAGTCCAAAATGTTCTGCAGCCCTGAGGATGGGTAAGCTGTATTAAGGAAATTGGAATATTTACTCTCGGCCCTTAGAACCGGAAAAGAGACTGATATTATTCCTGCATTATTTAAGGTGGAATGGAAAAACTGAAAAAGAAGCTGGTGAATAAGAAACCAAACCTCAGCTTTCTTGGTCCATGAGATGTTAAGAGGTTCATCCTGAATTTGTGTTCCTCCCAAAGAGCGTCATCCAGTTATTGCAGGGCCTCTGAATCTGAGCTCTTAGACTTTACATTCATGCTATGAATGTAAAGTGTACGTTGATGGGAAATGAGAGGAACTGCAGGATTTTCTTGTTCACAAAGGCTGCAAGCAGATTTAGGAAGCAATCAGAAGACTCTATAGACCTCCAACTCACACATGCACAGAGTTCTTCACTCAGGACCACAATACGGTGGACCTGAAGTTGCTTTGTCATTCTATTTCAGGGTGGGATGACCTCGTTCTGGAGGGCTGTACCTAAAAGTGTTTTTCCTTTGGACACTTTTAGGCCTTAGGTCTAAATAAAGACCAAATGTATCCAGACACATTGCTGACACAGGTGTTCACACAGCTTGTATAATAATCGTTATAGAAAAGCAGCTACACATGATCCTAAGGTCTCCATGTCCAATGCCAAGCATGGGCTAGAGGGGTATAAAGCCCCCCAGCATTGGGCTCTGGAGCAGTGGAACTGTGTTCTCTGGAGTGATGGAGCTCGATCCAATACCTTTGGGATGAGTTGGAGTGAACTGACCATTCAACATCAGTACCTGACCTCATTAATGCTCAATCAAATCCTCACAGCAATGTTCCAACATCTAGTGTAAAGCCTTCCCAGAAGAGTACTGTAACTGCAGTAAAGAGAGGCAAACTCACTATTAATACTCAGAAGAAATGCTGGAGGAGCAGGTGTCTACAAGCCTTTGGCTTATTAATGTAGTTGATTTGAATGATCTTGGAGAAGGACTCGTCAGTAGAAGCAGTTTTACCTTCTACTCTCCTGCTTTGAGTTTTTGTGGTGCTATGAGATTTGAGCCCTTCTACTGAAATAAAATAAAAGTCTGGTGATGTCCACAAGTGTTGCAGAACATGTGGGTGGCATTCCAGCAGTTGTCCTGATCCATCAATAAGAGCCATACACAGAATGGTGGTACCTCCTTTACCTTAACGTCCATGTTCCTTTCACCACAAAAACAAAGCATACATAACAGTGTTACTGGTAATGTCATTTTCCTTGCAGGTCACAATTAACATTTTAGGCCAAACAATAATTTTTCCTGATCTGTGGTGACAAATGCAACTCGCATTTCATGCTAGCAGCAGATAATGAAGCCTGTGAAAAGGTGACTGTTACACTGATTTTACACATGGTGTAAACTGCAAATGGTGTAAATTGTATGTTGCTATGATGGAATCCGCGATTGTAGTGCTCTCGTTCAAATACAGCTTTGATGAGCAGCTTGGATCACTTACTTAGATTATATGAATCACGTGTCTAGATGATGTAACAAATTAGAATTATCGTTTTGTTTATCATTTTGCTTAATTCTGTCGTAGCAACATACAGCATCTGAGCAGTGTTAATACATTGCTGCCACCTACTGGACTGAACTGCAGTATGGAACATACTGAAAATCATGGTTAATTATGTAACGTAAATATTATTGTTTTTAAGTGTGTCTTACCTTCTACCTCTGGCTCCAGTGTTATGACATGGCTCTTTTGGAGGTGGGTCGGCTGAGGCTGGCAGAGCTGCTGTTGCGGGACAGGCTGGGGCTGGTGGCTCCAGATGGGGACGCGGTCGGGGGGGTGGAGGTGGTGGGGCTGATTTCGGCAGGGCAGCCATGCTGCAGCAGGATGTCTACACAAACCTGACTCCCAGCACGGCGTGCCAGGGCGACAGCTGTCTGACCCAGAGCGTCCCTGCTCCTCACATCACTACCGTACTGTACAGAGAGAGAGAGAGAGAGAGAGAGAGAGAGAGAGAGAGAGAGAGAGAGCAAGTGTTAGAAAGAGTGAGCGGGACAGAAAAGTTTAGTAACAAGCTATATTTATTATAGTTACTATACTACTATATAGGATTTGGAGATTTGGAGACCTCTCTGGTCGAAATATGTAATTGCATGCAACAAAAGAATTCGAAGAGAACTCTGTCTAAACTTGGTGAAGGACACGTCTTCTGAGGATGTGAGTGAATTATCTACTATTGTCCTCACATCTTCATCAGTATAATGTTGATTTTGAGATCATTTGAGGCCTAAACATCAAGCCAGACCTTCTTTTTGAGTCTGTGTGTGATATTAATACCTAAAGATGTACGACGTGGTGTGAAAAACTCGACGCCTCTAACTGTTAAATGATTATTTCAGGCTTTAAAGGGCGACTTGCAGCAGCGCGTGCTCACTATATTGTAGCCTGTTTAAATTTTCCTTCCTCAGTAATGAAGCTTCTTTCAGCTTTAGCAAAAAAAATTACATAATTTCTCTGTTCCACCTTAAATGGTGCAGTTCCCATGCTGATAGATGCAGAATGTTCTAAGACGTTTTAACTTCTGCTCAAGGTGTTGTTTTTTGGAAAGGTATTTTTAATTGCCATCATTATTTCACCTGGATTAGGAGACTCTACACAAAGAGGTCTGATGAAAGTGGTCATCTCTCTTACCCAGATCAGCAGCTGAGTCATGACAACATCTCCCAGCTGGCAGGCGGCATGCAGGGGAGAAAATGATTCGTGGACGGCTCCGTTGCCATAGCGCATCATGTAGGAAGACGGGGCGTTGATTTCCTCTTTAGTGCTGTGTGCCAGCAGGAGGAGGAGTTTCGGGAGGTCTCTGTCCATCACAGCTTTATATAGGCGGGCAGACAGGGAGCCGTCTAAGCCGTCACTCAGAGAGGAGAGTGGAGCCAAAAACAGCTTCTGCTCGTATTTGGCCCGAATCCACGACTCGCGTTCCTCACTGTGAAAAAAGACATTGTGGTAAAGTTAGTATGTTGTAGCCTGAATGGGTGGGACTAAACTGCTGTATCCTGAATGGGCGCGGCTTAACTTCTGTAGCATGAATGGGCGGGACTAAACTTCTGTATCCTGAATGGGCGCGGCTTAACTTCTGCAGCATGAATGGGCGGGGCTAAACTGCTGTAGCCTTAATGGGCCGGGCCAAACTGCTGTAGTCTGAAAGGGTGGGGCTAAACTTTAAACGAACCTTTTATTATTATACTCATGACATAACCTTGTATACTTATAAGTCAAGACAGTAGTAACTGTGTAAAGGCATCTACAGCAACAATATTAATGATATTAATTGAACTGGACAACAACACCTGGCTTTACTGAATCTGGCCAGTTATTTGAGGCATAAGTAATATTTATGTGATTGTCTTCTACAGTGCCCCCTTATGGGCACCCTTCATAACGATGAGCAAAGAAATACTGTTTATCAGCTATACTTTACCCTCGAATTCTAACCTTCATAGACATACAATTGTATTATTTTATAATTGTATAATTTTATCAGATAAAGTCTATTAGAAGCATCTTCCTTTTTTATCTTCAGGTGATGATTTGGTAAAAAATCGAATTTACACAAATCCTCTTCATACCCCAAATGTAGTCAATCAGACAATTTATGTTTGGTGTCTGAAGTTTGCTTCTTTAATTTTAGCACTGGAGATATGAGGCTAATGTAGCTAACAAGTAAAGGAAGCTTATACCCCACCAATTAGTATGGTGCTAACTGCATGCCTCATTCATCACACACTCGTTTAAAGCTGTGTGAAGTTGTTCACTGTTATATATATAAACCTGGACTGCTGCTACTGATTTTAGCTATAAGTTTTCGTTCATTCTTATAGATAACACCCCTCCCTCCTATCAATCACTCACCGCGTGGCATCAGGGCGGGGTTTATGGCGGCCTCTGGTACGACTCTCCCAAATGCTGTTGGCCGTGTGGTTGCCAATGGCGATGAGCACCAGGGTGAGCTCATAGGGCCAGTCGTCTAGGTCGAGGGAGCGCACGCGGGACAGATGAGTGCCCAGATTCCTGTGAATACCTGAGCACTCTATGCAGATCAGTGCACCCAGGTTTAGACTGGCCCATGTTGGATCTGTGAAGGGAAGAAGCTCTGAGATCAGCGCTTCAGTGGCTCATTGTTGGATCGTGGCAAATTACTTCCAACTATACGAGGAAAATCTAAAATCACTGTGAAACTAAACTGGGGCTAAGGCTGAATGGGCAGAGCTAAATTGCTGTAGGCTGAATGAGTGAAATGTGATACGAAAAGAAATCTCAGGTAGAGAGACACAAATAGTGAGAGAGAGAGAGAGAGAGAGAGAGAGAGAGAGAGAGAGAGAGAAAGTGAGAGAGACTCACTGGGAGCGTCACAATCCACACAGAAGCCATTCCCTTTAGCATTACGAATGGCCTGAATGGCCACTGCTTCACTCTGGCTGTTCCTTCTCGCCTACAGAATACATAAATGCACACACACACACACACACACACACACACACACACACACACACACACATTAAACAACTGACAGAGGTCTGAAATACATAAACTCACACAGACATTTACACCTACACTAAAATTCTGTTCATGAAGACAGCAGTAAGTGTCGTATCACTGACGCTGTGCAGTAATCTGTAGTCAAAGCTACTAACCAGTTTAAAAATGCCCTGTACAGTCATATGCAAAAAATTGTGCTCCCCTTGTCAAATTCCATGTCTCCAAGTGTAAATAAGTTGCACATCCTCTACGGAGACAAACTTCGCCATATTTTAATACACAGTTACTCTTTATTTAGTTTAACATATTGGATAAAATATACTATTAAATGTCAAATGTGACACAATTTTTGCACAGGCCACATTTAACGTTTTACTTTTTCCCCAGTGTGTTAACTTCAGTAAACAAATAATAATTGTGTATTAAAATGTGCAGAAGTATATAAAAATTGTGTCACATTTGACATTTAATAGTATATTTTATCTAGTATGTTAAACTAAATAAAGAGTAACTGTGTATTAAAATATGAAGAACTGTGTCTCTGTACAGGATGCATAACTTACTCACACTCAGAAAAACAACAACAACATGGAATTTGACCAGGGATGCACAAACTTTTCTCCGTTTTTGTTTAATTTTTACTTTTCTATGTCATTTGAATGCAACAGCTACCAACAGAAATGATTTGGAATAAGATCTGTTAATATTCAAAGTTAAAAATGATTTTGCTGCCTTTTGTACGTTATGATATCCAACAATATTGAAAAGAACTGCTATCTAACTAATCTAGAACTCCACAGTGTTCCCCTTTACAGGACAATGAAGACATTTTTCAGACAGTGCCATTTTCATCTGTGATTTTATTCTAAATCTGATACACTGTGATGTAGTTCTGTCAGTCAAGCAGATTAAATCAGAGGCTTTTAGTTCACTCACTGAAGACCCTCAGGTACCTGATCTATAACTGTAGAACTGGGAAGAACTGCCTTTAAATTACATTATACTCAGTATACTGATACTGTATGAGATAATATCATGAAACACGGTCAGACACTAAATAGACTCCAACGGCTTTAGTTAAAGGGCTTTACTGAATGATACAGTGTCAGTATACTGTATCATACAGTAAAGGCCCTTTAACTAAAGCTGTTGAAGTCTATTTAGTATCAAATAATATAATTAAACACGATCAGACACTAAATAGACTTCAACAGCTTTAGGTAAAGGGCTTTACTGAATTATACGACTGAAGATGAATACACCAGCGTTCAGTTTTCAATAATATAATAGCAGTATACTAACAGGTAAATGCATAATACACCAGTTCTATTCATTGTTAGCTTAAACTGTAACAAATAAATTATGCATAATTTAATTAAACAAAAAAGAAAGAACTTATGAATTAAATCAACATCCAACAGATAACTTCACAAAAAATCCAATAAAGATAATTACAGTATATTAGCTATTTGTGACTTTTGAATGCTAGTATAGAGAGCGTAGGTGATGGATGCTGCTAATTTGCCCTTATATTTTATTCTCCAGGTTCCTTTTTTCGTATTAGAACATGTGATCCTCATACTAAAGTTCATGCAGAGGTCAGAACCTACTACACTGAGCAGTCACTTTCGGAGGAAGACGAAGAAATAAAGAAAAATGGTTTGTTTATGACTAGAATATTTATCCGTTTAATCCTTTAAGACAAAAACAAAACTAATCTAAAAGCTGTGTGCAGAAAGTCAGTGTCTCAGTCATTAAGGCCAGAGTTTGGCTTGGACCCTCAGAGGCCTGCAGAGCTGGCAGATGATAGAGATGATGTTTCTTGCCTTGTTCCTGCTGCTCTCGCAGGATTGCAGGCAGGCCAGAATCTGGCTCTCGATGGCTTGTACCCAGGAATCCCGCTCCTCCTGACTCTGAGCCTCAAAGTGCCACGTCTGTCCGGTGCTGGACACGATCAGGAACTCGCAGTTCTCATCATCTAAACATGAATAGAATACGAAATAATACACACTTTATTGTCACATTGCTCTGAAATTTGTCTTGAATCACAGCGGCTCCATGGGAAAGTGTGTGTGTGTGTGTGTGTGTAGGGGGGTGACTTTCACAAACAATAAGACAGACACAAACATCAAACCACAACAACACACTTTACGCCAGGGAGTAAAGGGCCATATTTAAAAAAATCTCAACAAATCTGTGGGCCAGCTGTGTTTTTTTATTTTAATTTTTAATTTATTTTTAACATTTTGCCATGACCCCAACTGGCTATTGTTTGTTCGAAATATGCCAAAACTACAATGGCAAACAATAGGCACTGAATACTTGAATGATTCAAAAATAATTTAAAATAAAAACAAATTGTTTTATATAAAACAATAGACTGCATTATCTGCAGATAACTCAAACATAATTTTTTATATTTTATCATGTTTACAATATTCTTTACAATATTCTAGATTCAAGATTGTTTTCACATGCTTAGATCATTTTTGCAGTATCCATATAAAACTCAGAAGACATACGTAAAATTTTGAAAAGTCAGTTGGAGTCAGGAGTGGAACCAAACTGTAATTAATGAAACGGTGTAGTTTAATCACTGATACATGATATGTATAAGCAGGCAGTTCACACAGCATGTAAAACACCACACAGAGCACACAGACAGGTTACAGCACAGTTCATACGTCATCACTGTGGGGTCTTTCCCAGTGGTGGACAATAACAAAGTAAATGTAATTTGTTACTGTACTTAAGTAGTTTTTTTGTGTATCTGTACTTTACTGAAGTATTTCCATTTTGGGCGACTTTTTACTTTCACTCCACTACATTTCAAAGTCAAATATCTTTTTACTCCACTACATTATGCGAAATCTGTTGTTCCTTTTGGCTTATGTGTGTATAAAAACGTAGTGTCAAAACGAAAGAAGCGCGAGGCAAGGACACCAATCAGGGTACAGTGCACGCTTTGTTTTGAGCTTGTTTTGACCTATTGGACAAAACTACCCAGTGAAAGCATATGGTTCAATGTCAGTGCAGCAGCATAAAATTTTGGGAGTGTCTATTCCTACATAAATGATGGAACCTAACTTTGTGTAAATAGACCACAATATAAAAATATGTACATGTATGCAGTTGTGACTGGCATGTGTCTTTTTTCTGAATTTCTATTTCATTTTATAGTAAATTTGTTTTGGCCAGTTTATGTTTATGAACATAGACCTACAGATGCAATTTAATAAAGGAAAACACATTTGTGAACCTCTGTTTAAAGCAAGTTTTTATTAAATTTAAACTTGTAACTAAGTTGCAAATAAATCTTAAACTGAAACTTTGCTTTTTTGCAAAAAGTTATTTCATAGCCACTTGGTTCTACCTAATGGAATTGTGTTTTGTGTTTATGATAACTTTAATAGACATCATTGACAGACTCATTAATAACATTCTGTTAAAAGACTGGTTTGCCAAGAGTGACACTAGAGTATTTTCATCTAAAATGAGTTAATGAAGCAAGAGTCTTGTTACAAAAACGGTAGTAGGACATTAGAGTCATAATTAATCTTTTGGTACTTTTACTTTCGATACTTAAGTACATTTGAAGGCAAATACTTTTGTACTTTTACTCAAATGGAGGTCTAAAAGGAGGACTTCTACTTTTACTGGAGTAATATTTTATCTTGGGTATTTCTACTTTAAGTCAAGTACATGATTGGTGTACTTCATCCACCACTGGTCTTTCCAGATGATTCTCGAGCTCCCTGCACGGCAGGCACAAACTCAGAGAGCACATAGATTTAGTTTTTTAGCTCTAAAGACTGTTCAGCTGTGAACAAAGTTCTTATACCGCCTGTCAGAAAACATCTATCAGCAGAGAAAGTGCAAGGCTGACTCTGGTACCTCATTCTAATTTTCAATTCCACCTTAAATGCTGCAGCTGAGGCCAAAGGAGTTTAACTGTAAAGCAGTTCCAGCGATGAGCCCAACCCCACAGCGATTAATCAGAGCTGTGTCTGAAAGCAGGTGATGAATGACAACCTGTTCTGTTTACCTGTCTTGTTTATGTTTCTTAAGCTACCGAAGCTTTTCAGTTTCCACATTTTGCGCTTAGCTGGATGACAAGCAAGAAGAGAAAGAGATAAAGAGACAAATATGAGAGAGAAATCTGCAGCCATTCTTAAAATAATTAATGCAAGTGAAGCAAAAGTATAAAACATCTGTTGTAAAGTACGTTGCCTGCTGTAGTTCAAGTGACATCATAATGTTTCAGCTAATTCACACAATTCACATGTAAACACTCACCTTCAGCTTGACCGATGGTCGTGTCTGCTCTCTGATTCATACTCTTCTTCCTCCGATGCTTCTTCCGGTCAGTCACTGGAGATGTACTGGGGTCTTTTATCAGTGGGGGGCTCAGCACTCCCTCGATCTCTAAATTCGACATAATCACAGAGGCTCATGTGCGTGTCTGATTTGATAAATGTGCTGTTTTTTTGCCCTACACTATTACACTGTTTACAGTGTTTTACTGTTTTACTTAAACATACTTTAAAACACTTTGATCTGCCTGTTTAATAATGAAAGGTGCTGCATAAATAAAGTTATTATTTTTATCATTATTATCATCATCATTACCCCTCTGTGGTCTTAGGGCATTTTCTCGATTCTTAAATTCTCCTTTAAAGGCTCTTCATATAACACAATACTCATATGTTTCATATCAAATTGCTTCGTTATCTTCACCACTATTTTCCAAAAGTGCTGCAGCAACTTCAGCAGCTGTAAACTCTCTGCACACCATTTCACATGTCTCCGATGTGGACTGAATGAAGAATAAAGGGGTTCCGGAGTGATGGGTCAGTCTATTGGTCAGTTTCACACAGAATGTAGACGGACACACAAATCCACCAGTTCCACATGGTGAGAGGCAGATGACGTGTATCTAACGTTTGAACTGTATTTCTGTGGGTTATCACAAAGATACAGAAGCAGTTATAGAAACAGAGAATTTGATGCACAGGCGTGTTTGTGGACCCTAGAGGTTTAAAACAAGCTGGATGAATATGAGTAAGAGAGCCTGGTGATTGTATGTTTGCGTACCGATACTCTGAACTTTGCTGGAGAGGGTGAACGGTGCTCGCTGCACCTCACGGTGACCCGCAGGGCTGATGACTCCGGCTCCCTCATCCACAGTTATGAGTCCGCTCGGGAAGCCAGCAGCTGTGACTAAAAGATAAAACAACGAGCAATTTTACCAATAAATTTACCAATAATACCATTTTACCATTAAAAATTGTTTTTTAATCATCTATTGTGGCTCCCTGTAACAAGCGGGAGGTGGCAAAGACACCAAGCAGTGCTGGGAGTAACAGTACACAGTAATGCAGTAAAGTAATATAATTACTTCTCCCTGTAATGGAGTAGTGTAACATATTACAGTATAAATCATATTACAGTTACTGACTTAATAAGAATTACATTATTTACGTTACTCATCTGTTTCTAAAAAACAGTATTATATATTATAAAATGATTATAATTGTTATTATTATCATATAATACTGTAGTGTTTGCCAAAATGAAAGAAGACACAGCTTTGCACACTTAAAAAATTGGTTCTTGAAGGGTTCTTTAGCAAAAAAAAAAGGTTCTATGTAGAACAATGAACATTCAAAGAACCCTTTTCATGATTAAAGGGTTCTTTGCATAAGTAAATTGTTCTGGATTGATGGAGAATATGTTGTATATGGTTCTATGTAGCACCAAAATGGGTTCTTCTATTGTAACAGGCCTGTCAGAGAGTTCTTTGAATATTTATGGTTCATTTTCTTTACTAAAGAACCCGTGAAGAACCATCATTTTTAAGTGTGTAGTTGTGCTTTATTAAAGAGCTATATTTGGCCACAGCCACTTTGTACAATAAGCAAGGCTTTTATCTAACAGCACACTCTACACACAGCTTACATCTGCACTCTCTCGCTTCCAGCTCCAACTGACCCCCAGTTCCTGTCTGCTCTGACAAACACCGCCCCCGAAGGTGAACTAGCCCCTTTTCACATTACAGGAGAAATATGTAAGATGCCCCACCCCGTCGAATTCATACTCCACACAGTTCCTCCTCCTCCCTCTTCACTCCCCCCCTTACCAGTCTAGAAGAAATGTTGCGAGTTCAGCATCAAACTTCATCTCTTTACATGTCGAGAGCTCCAGCAGTGAAGAGCACCGCCAATGCTAACTCTCGATTTGCTTCTATTTATGTGACTTCTTTTCTTTGTGGTTTCTTGCCAGGAGCGGCTACTTTTTCATCCTCTCGTGAAGGACTGATACAGTGCTACAGTGACTCACTATTACCTCTTGAGGTACAGAGTGGTATTACGAGATGGATGAGCCGAGGCTGCCTGGTTAGCATGCTAACTTCTGTAGATATCTTCGCAACATGATTCGTAGATGCCTTTGACAAAATGTCAAAACTGTTATTTCTTCAAATTCTGTTTCTAATTTTAGTTAATTTTGAAATGTTTTAAACTAAACTTCTTACAAGTTGCCCCTTTTAAGAGTGTTTGTCAGAATAAACCCAGAGAATAACTTCAGGAGAGCAATACCCAGAATAAACATGCAGAACATTTCTCTTCAATATTTGTGTTCCTGGTTATGTTTATACTCACTGTGTTTAAAACTATTTCTCACCTGCTCTCATGTAAATGCAACAAATCTGCCTAATATGCTTATGTAAATGTGCTAATAGATATACTTCTATTCCTGTTCTTGCATGTTTTACTCTAATTTATGTCTATTTCTTATTTCTGCCTATATTAGGTTTATTTTTGATTTCTGGCTGATTAATGTAAGTTTATACACAATTACATGTCTTGCTACTGTAACGCTGCAATTTCCTTTGGGATCAATACAGTTCTACATATCTCTATCTGTACTGTACCATGTGTGCAATTCATTAAAATCATAAGTTTCCTCTATATAGATTATGCATAAGTGTACTCTTACTATGTAATTAGTGTGTGTTACCTGCAGTAGGCACAGATGAGTTTGGGTTTCAGAAAGGACCACAGAAGTAACGTGGTAAGATCACTTTTTTTTGAGTAACTACCACAAAACAGGTGCCATGTTGTTCTAGTTGGGAGCTTCCAATCCTCACAGTCGTCATAACAGACAGGCCTCATAATACAGGCTGGCACCTTTTTCTGTAAACTGTTGGATTAAGAGCTCAGTCAGTCATAGTTCTGCTCTCTCACCTGAACCACTTCCTTCGAGTCCTGCTACATCTTGGACTAATCCATTCAGTCCAGGCAGGGGGCCGGCTGATGGAGCTGCTCTGGGGGGACGTTTCCCTGGAACTTTCACTGTCACCCTCAGAAGGTCTATCTCCTTCCCATGAATATTCTGCATGTAGTCCTACCATTAGGAAAAATAATAACAAATAAATAAAACATACACATTTAAATATACATGTATTATATCGTCCCCTTGGAGTTGGATGATGTTCTATCTGACATTTTTGTCAAAATTGAGTTTTTCACATTTTCCTATTCTGTGCTAACTTCTTAACATTATGTGTTTTTCTGTGCTAACTTCTTAACATTAGGTGTTTTTTTTTTTGTATGTGTTTTTGGACTCTTTATCCAGAAAACTAAAAAATTCTATTTCCAAAGTCAAACTCTGACTTAGTTCTGGAAAGTTCTGTGAGCCAATCAGCACTTCGAATACAGACAAGAGGATCAGACAGCTTCTTTTTTGTCATGTTGCCGCTCTGCTCAATGACTGCGGGAAAAGTTTATAAAACTTTATGAAACATGAAAACATGTTGCTGAAACTCCACCTGTCTTACAGTTCTTTAAAAAAGGCTTATTGTCTTAGTTTTATAAATATTAAGCCTTAAAGGTAATTAAATAGTGAACATTTGAACTCATTGGTCTTAATTACAACATAAACATTAATTTCATTCATTCATCCAGCTTTTCTTTTTCTTCTTTCTCTCAAAATAAGATGTTTTGGCTTATTAGAGTCACATTTCTGATATAAAATAAAACCTCACATGGTCTTTCGACTGACTTGCTATACTGACCTGCTTCATTGACCTGCTGGGACAGTTTATTACAGTAGCTAGTTTCTGTTTAACTAGAGGAAACTTAAACCAATGGTTCCTAAAACTTACCTCTGCACTGGACAGAATATTTAGCACTGACCTTCTTTTGCTTCTTTTCATGTTTTGCCAGATAGAACCTTATAACTCCAAGCAGAAAGTGAGTTCTCAGGATTAGAATGTTCTATCTGCATTTGACCTGCTCTAAAAACCGCAATTACAAATTTGATAGGATTTTGATATTGTACATTTAGAATAAATGTGTGTCTGCCATTTTATGTATTAAAGAGATGTGTTCATAAATCAGTTTTGCTATTTGGAATGCAAAATCTTTGAAGGTCAATATCTCAAAACTGTTCAGAACACAGATAGAACCATTTAATTCCAAGAGGACAATATACACATATGTCATAAGATCGTCGTGGCACACAGGTCACTGTTTAATTTTGAGAGGCATGTAAGACTCACGCTGACGTTGGAGTGATAGGACAGCATCCCGTTGTTTGACAGAGTCACATATTTCTTCTTCCACTCCTGTTTAAGGGAGCTCCCACTGCGTTTCAGAAGGATGCTCTGAGATTAAAAGAGAGAGACAAAATCATTAAGCTCTCACGGTATTTCATTCCCATCATACCTTTACCTTCGGCTGAATGATGCTGTTATAATCTGCTGTATGAACAGTGTTGCACTGTTAACTGAATAATAAGCACATAAAGTCTCAATCATAAACAAACTGGTCTTGTCTCTGAGTCACTCGACTGCTGCACTCTTAAAAAAGACGGTTCGTCAAGGGTTCTTCAGTAGTTCTACATAGAACCATGAGCACTCAAAGAACCATTTGCATGCTGAAAGCGTTCTCTGCATGGTAAAATCGTTCTTCAGACTGATGGAGAATGTGCTGTATATGGTTTTATATAGAACGTTTTCTATATAGCACCAAAAAGGGTTCTTCTATTGTCACAGCTTATCACAATAGCAGAAACCTTTTTGGTGCTAAATAGAACCATATACAGCACATTCTCCATCAATCTGAAGAACCATTTACCATGCAGAGAATGATTTAAGCATGCAAATAGTTTTAGAGTGTTCATGGTTCTATATAGAACCATTGTCTTTACTAAAGAACTCTTGAAAAACCATTTTTTTAAGAATGTGCTGTTATGGTTTTACCAGCGTGTCTGACAGAGTAACTGAAATACTGCAGAACATTAGTCCAGGCCTGTAATTTGGTGACAAATAAGGTGTTTTGATTGATTAATTAACTAATAAATTAATTAATGTATTAATTAAGCTCTGATCTGTTTGGTTTGGACAGGCAGAGACACGATCCACTCAGAACTCAGTGTTGTTTCTTCTGCCCACATGCTCATGTTGATCCTGCAAATTTAATATTAATAAAACACCATGTAGCACCTGTTTGATTGGGATTGCGCGGCCAATTCCAAAATCTCCTTTGCTGTCGACGCTCCTCCTCTCTGAGTCACTGCCTCGACGCGCCTGCAGAGAAAAACATCCACCAGACCAGAATCAGCACTTACATCAAAATAAAAATAAAGCTGCCATAGAAAAACCACTTTAGTTCCCTAAAGAACCTATACACATAAATAAATATTTCTGTGTATACCCTAACCTAACCGTGGTGTGCAAAAGTTAGAGACAGTCCAGCCAAAACAGTCATTAAGTACAAGTTATTGATTTTTCAGGAGATATTTCTGAGCTGATTAGATTACATAATCCACTTGCACCAGGAAGGAGAACCTCAACGTGAAAAAACTAGAGTTCACAAATTTATTAAAAGCTACAGAGAAACAGTTTAGCCCCACCCATTCAGCCTACAGCAGTCTAACCCCGCCCATTCAGCCTACAGCAGTTTAGCCCCACACATTCAGCCTACAGCAGTTTAGCCCCGCCCATTCAGCCTACAGCAGGTTAGCCCCACCCATTCAGCCTACAGCAGTTTAGCCCCACCCATTCAGCCTACAGCAATTTAGCCCCCCCATTCAGTATTGACTCACTGTGAATCGGGCAGTTCGGCCGTGGCTGCGCAGCGATACGGGGGTGGCGCTGCCCAGCTTCTCTCCTCCAGACGTCCCACTGATGTCTTTATGACTGATCACTGGAGTGGAGGGCAGAGAGGAGGAGTAGTCACTGCTCTGACCACCGTTACTGGCCTAGAACAGAGGAGGAGAAAACAATCAATAATCAATAATTTCGTTACACATTCTGATACTAAATTCCACAAAATCTTCTATAGTCAGACATAATACACAAGGCTCAGCCTTAAGAGACAGTAACTTTTATATTCACAGCCTCGAATCTCTATAAATTCACTGATACTTTTATTATTAATAGCATTAAAATCAGCATTTAACTTAATAGAAAAACTTGAGATGTTTTCTGCAGGAACCTGGATTGTCAGTAGGGAGCCATGATTTGTAGTCAGAGTTTGTGTGCAGGTATGACGGTGCCTGTGAGACGTACCTGTCCTGGAAAAGCTCCTGACAGGGGAGTGGATCCTCCAGAGTGACTGGGAGAGTTTGGGAGAGATTTACAGGAAGCATACAGAGCCAGCTGCCTCTTCATCGTGACGATCTTCTGAGCAGCTACAGAGAAACAATGCAGTGCATTAATATTTATTATTTATATTTACAGTATAAACAAATTCAGATTTTGTTAATGACTGGGTGTATTTGTGTGGGTGTGATTTTTTACGCACTCACCCTCTGTGAAGACCCGGTTAACGTTCAGCCCATAGGTGGCGCAGGTCTCATAATAAGTGCAGCGATGGACATCTGAGCACAGCTGCCTCGCTCGAGCGTCATCAATCACACGAGGATTAGTGCTGGTTATTTTATCTGAACAAGAACAGCAGCTTCAGGACTCACTTATTCCACTTCATAAGACTGGAATACTGTGACTACATTACTTTATCACTTTAACCTGAGTGATCGATTATCGATGTTTGATAAAGAGACATGTGAGTGGGGAGAACCTTGCAACAATCCTTGCAACAATCCAAAGAACATTATTACCAGTTTAACAGTTCTTTCCAGAACCTTTACATGTACAGTACTGTGAAAAAGTATTTCTCACCTGATTTCTTCTATTCACCACTGTCCGGAGTTTCCTCCATTTGTGGATAATGGCTTTCACTGTGGTTCTCTGGAGTCCCAGAGCCTTTGCAATGGTTTTGTAACCATTTCCAGACTGTAGATTTTAAAATGACCTCATTTCTCACCTGTATTTTAATCTCTTTAGAACGTGCCATCATGTGCTGCTTTTTGAGAGTCTGCTTCACACTGCCAGACAGGTTCTATTTAGGTGGTGTTTAGATTCAGCAGGTCTGGCAGTGATCATGTCTGGGTGTGGCAGTGAAATCGAACCCAACAGTCAACTGAATTTTGTTAACTGATTGATTTAGTAGCTAAGTGGACAATTACTTTTTCACACAGGGTCAGGTAGGGCTAAACAGTATTTTTCCTTCAGTAAATGAAATCATTATTTACTTTACAGAATTTTGTGTTTACTTGGTTACTTGTTGTCCCGCCGCTCGCACGCGATCACTCAGGTTTGTGGACGGTGGAGCGGAGGGATGCCAGATTGTTTCAGGGTGCTCCCGTGTCTGTGTGTCCTTTTGGTTGTCTCCTTTTAGTAAAGCTGTTATAGTCAGATTTACCAGAGTCATTAGCCACACTCTGGAAATGTTCACATTCTCTGTTTTACATACACTCAAACAGAACAAAACTAATTCCATCTCCCTGCCTTTTTCCGAGTAAACGACTGCCCACCTGCCGGACGGACACTGATGGATGATTATCTGCGGAGCTCTCCTGCTGTCCGCTTCAGACCAGTTACCCACGCCCCAGTCGCCGCCACTTGCCCAGCTACTGCCACTTGACTTGGACTAGCTGCCCACTCCCACTCTACAGTGAAGTTTTCATGGACTCCTAACTATTACTACTACTACTACTACTATTAATATTAGTAGTATAATAATTTTGTAGGTAGTTTGACCAGAGGAGGATGGGTCCCCCCATGTGAGCCTTGGTTCCTCCCAAGGTTTCTTCCTCAGCTCTGAGGGAGTTTTTCCTTGCCACTGTCGCCCCTGGCTTGCTCACTTGGAGGATTTACATTTCATGTTAAAACTTGGTCTTTAATGGATTTCTGTGAAGCTACTTTGTGACAACATCAGTTGTAAAAAGCACTATACAAATAAATCTGACTTGACTTGACTTGGGTTATCACTGTCTAATATTAACAGAAGTTTGATGATCTGAAACATTCAAGTGTGAGAAATAATAGAAGAACAAAAAAAATAAAAGACATTGAGGAGGAGCAAATACTTTTTCACAGCACTGTACATATATAGTTGTGATTTAGGACTTCAGAGTTGGAAAATGTAAAGTTGGAATTGTGATCATTATATCATTTTAATTACTGTATTATTTAGCATGATTGTTGTTAAGTTAATTAGTAAAATATTTGCCTCGTTCAGCCAATCAGGAGTGTTGTGATGAAGGAGGGCAGAGTCTAAATAGCTCTGTTTAGTAGAAGGTCAATATTTCCAACTGAGGTCATTTCATATGAACTATTTCATCGTTTTACTCTCTTTATTATTACTCTGCTAATGGTTGTTTTGTGCCTGATGAACATAGTAAACAGTAAAACAACAGTAATAACTTATGACTTCTAAGAGTTAAACATAAAATCGTGATGTTATGTCTACACGGTTCCATTTCTCACCCTGAGTGCCGACCACGATGAAGGGGATTTCTGCGATGTTGCGGTGAAGGCTCAGCTGCCTGTAGATGTTGTAGACTTCCAGAAAGCTGCTCTCATTCTCCAGACTGAAGACCAGAATCACTCCATCCACCCAGCTGCAGAACTGAGGATGAGAGAGGAGGAAAGATAAACCAGAGGGAGAAACAGAGACTCAGATGGTAAAGAATGTGATCTGGAGATCTGAAGGAGTGAGATGATGTCTGAAAAGCAGAATAAAGAAGCAGAAGATGAGGGGGAGGAGGAGGACTCACCTCTGCGTCTGGAAGGCCAGGTTCCTCTCTCATCAGTAAGTGGTGACTCTGTCCATCAACCAGTACTTCCTTTTTAAACCTGCCCCCTAACACAATAGCGGGGTTAACTCAGCAGCAGATAGCAGATATTAACCCATTAATGCCCATATCTAAAATTATACATGTGGTCCATATGTTCTCTCAGCACAAATATTAAGACATTTATCAAATCGATTAAACTATATGTGGTTAAAAAGTGAGTTTAGCTTTTCACCATAAAAAAGTCTTTACAAAACAACAGAAAAATAAACATGACAGTAGCATTTAGCGCTCGTGCTATAAAAGTTTCAAGTATTGTAGAACAAATTATTTTTCTTTTGCACAACATAAAAAACTTTAAATGTTGTGTATTTTTTAAAAATACAAAATTTATTTCCTCCTGAATATCTCAGATTCTCCACAAGGGGGTGCTATTAGCATTCAAGTACTCTTTATGTGCATGTTTGAATGCAAAGAAGCCCACACCAGCAGGAATGGGACCGTTCAGCTGGAGTCGTACATTTTAAAACAACAAGTGAAACAGTTCATTACGTAAAAGTTTGGCTTAGCTTTTAAGATGAGGCAGTAGGAATAGCAGCAGCTCCTGAATCCAGAGAGTGTTTGGGTTGACATTTCTTTCAGTAGGCAAACCTTCTGGCGGGCCCAATGTTTTATAAAGTGCTTCTATAACCTGAAAATAGCTCAGCCAGTTTGCACTGAAGTCCCTGTAATTACTGAGTAATAAGCAGTGTGTGTAATAAGACTGAGATTTTAAAGGTTTCTATCTTAAATCAATGCTGCTTTAAATATGAACAACTTTTGGGTATTTTGTACAGCACAAGCCCCTTTACAAATGTTTACAAACATCAGTGTTTGTTCTATAGTGTTTGAACTACCTAAAGGACTACAACTACCATAACCACTAGAACTGAATTGTGTCATTGATTGTTATTGCGTAGTTAGAACATCTCATGAATAATTGACTATGAATTATTGACTATAATTGCTATGAGCACCTGGACCAAAACATCTGAATGGATTTGGAGGTCTACTGCATGCGACAGTGAGCTTTTATTTGTTCACTGTAGTAAAAGAGTAAAAGTAAAAACTAAAAAACATTTAAAATGTAAAACTTTCAAAAAGACAAAGTTAGATCATCCATTATGACTATTCAGTGTTTTTCTCTTATTGTGCTATTACAGCAATACTCCATTGTATCAGTGTCTGCAGCGTCTGTGGCACACAATTGATTACCAATAGACAGCAATTTCTGCATGTTTCCTTGTATTGATAAAAAGAACATTGGACTTGGAAAAACAGTGAATCTAGTGAGCAGAAGCTGAAACACCTTCACACTGGCCTCTATTATAAGAGAGCTCTTTTCTGTCAGCAGCTTTTCTGTTCTTTTCAGTTCAGAGAAGTTAATATCTGTGGATCGATCATTCAGACTCAGCAGCTTGAGATCAGACTGAGAAATGCTGGAGTATTTTATTTAAAAATGTACTACAGAACATACAGATGAGGTCTAGGCGGGTCAGAATGTTTCAGCTGCACTGAAAGATAAAATAAAAGTACCCTCAGGACTCTCGAGAGGCAGGTAGCTGCCCGTCATGTAGCGATGAACCAGAGCTGATTTTCCGCTGAGCAGACCGCCGAGGATCCCCTGAGTGGAACAGACCACACTTTAGGAACCAGAACATCACTCTGATCATGTAAACAAAAAGCAGAATGGAACTGGACGTGTTTTACATTAGTCAGCTATAAATAAACTGTGCAGAAAGCGTTACTGTTTACAGTGGTGGTTACACTTTATACTAACAGGCCCCCATAATAATAATCATTATCTAGTTTAATAATGATAGTATATAGTTTAATTAATGATAGTTAAAAATTATTTTTAGTTACTTGTGCTCTAGTAAATTATTAATCGTTTTCACTTACTAACACACTAATAATTAAAACACGGTAAATGCTTTAATAAATATTACACTGAAGTGCAATAAGTAATACTATATATCTTTATAAATACATTATAGTCCCAACTTTGTAACAGGGGTCCAATTAATGACTATTAATGTATAAAAAGTGTATATTAACCATTTAATGATACTCAACTAAGCATCAAAAAAATGCAATACAAAGCAGCAGCACAGTTAATAACTACTATATCAGTAAAAATCAGACGTAAACAATTGAAAAACAACTAATATGAATTAATGTCTATGCAACTAAGTAAATGCTTAATATATGGTTATACATATAATATAACTAAATCATAATGATTAGATTTCTACAATTCAAAACAATGTGTGAAAGTGTTCTCCTACCAGCCGCAGATCCTGGATGGCACGACTCAACATCCATTCTTGACTCGCAGCACAGGCTGAGAGAGAGAGAGAGAGAGAGAGAGAGAGAGAGAGAGAGAGAGAGAGAGAGCAATGCAAATTATTAAGGATGAATTATCATCTTAATCTATATGGTATTAGTGTGTAATTGGCACCATTTAATTCCTGTGCATTCTGGATAGTGTCAGGTGACTTATTGGGTTACTTCAGAGCTAATAAGAGTTTAATAAAGTACAGTTTTACTTCTCAGTAATTAGAAGTCAATTTGCATCACACATTTGTGGTATTTTGATGACAGAAAAGATTGAATATGTCACTAATATACGTTATGTGTTGCATCATTAGTGAATTATTAAACTCTTATTAGATATAATGTAATAAACAGAGATGAAGCAATTAGCTCACCACTATTTAGACACCTATAAGAATTAAATGCTGCCAATTATATACAATTAAGGTAGCTAATTTGCATAATAAGGTCTTAACAAAGTTTACATCACAGATATCCAATTGTCTACCAATGCTGGTCATAATGAATAAAGCTTAATGCATAATGAATAAAAAATGTGTAAGTGTCTAATTAAGGCGTCACTGAACATAGAACAAGACCTTAATACCTTCAACACTCAGTAGCAGTAATGCTAACCAGTCAACATCAGTAGCAGTAATGCTAATCAATCAGCATCAGTAGTAGCAATGCCAACCAATCAGCTCTCAGTAGCAGTATTGCTATTTAATCAGCATCAGTAGTAGCAATGCCTACCAATCAGCTCTCAGTAGCAGTAATACCAACCAATCAGCTCTCAGTAGCAGTATTGCTATTTAATCAGCATCAGTAGTAGCAATGCCTACCAATCAGCTCTCAGTAGCAGTAATGCCTACCAATCAGCTCTCAGTAGCAGTAATGCCCACCAATCAGTGCTCAGTAGCAGTAATGCCAACCAATCAGCACTCAGTAGCAGAAATGCTAACCAATCAGCGTTCGGTAGCAGTAATGCCAACCAATCAGCATTAAGTAGCAGTAATGCTAACCAATCAGCATCAGTAGCACCCTACATAAATGGCTAGAAGCATTTAATTTTTTTTTTTTTTTAGCTCTGTTTACCCCCATATATTGAGGACTCTCTCTAGCACCCTGTAGTATTTTGGAGTCATGTTTTTAATGTAATGAGAGAAACAGAAAGATGTCAGACTCCCCTTAAACTGTGAAGCCCATAACTGGCAGAGCATCAGACGTTTCAGGACCAGTGAGATGTTTTTGTAATCAGGTTTGACCCTTAGAGGCTCAGAGGAAAACTTTCAAAGTCATCAGGCTCCTCTGTTGCACATGATGACACTTTTCAGCAGGGAAGGCCTGCTATTGGTGGGTCAGCAGTGCCCCCAAACGTGCTCAGTCGCAGGTCCAGATGGCACGAGACTGGATGGGGGTGAAGTGAGAAGACTGAATAGAATGGAAGGGAGCGAGGATGGAAATTAACTGCAGCAGCTCAGTGGGAAAGTGCAGAGACTCCAGTTCATTAACAGGGACATTGTACACATTGTGTTTACAGTGTGTGAGTGTGTGTGAGTGTGTGTGTGTGTGTGTGTGTGTGTGTGTACGTGTGTGTGTGTGTGTGTGTGTGTGTGTGTGTGCATGTATGAGAGAGAGAGAGAGAGAGAGAGAGAGAGAGAGAGAGAGAAGCTGAACAGCTAGCTAACGTGTTAGCATCTGTTACAACACATCACTACATTAGTGCAAAACCTGATGTGTAAACTTTCACAAGAATATAATGAGCTGCATACTCCCAACGATTTCTCAAAATTCCTCCTTAATCCAGTGTGTGAGATGTGAACAGAGTGATTCAGAGTGGTTTGGTATGAAATGGTTCAGATTTCTTTACAGTGATTGTGATAGGAACCAGGGGTCGCCATGACTACAACACAAATATAGACATTTTATTTACTATCCAAAAGCAGCCTCATGTGAGAAACAGGCCATTCAGAGCATCAATTCCCAGAATTTTGAAAAGTGTTGTGCTGTAATAATCAGATCATTGTTCAGGGGAGGAGAGTTTAGTAAGTTATGCATCTGAATATATCACAGTAAAGAGAATCTGATCATGACAAACTGCTGTAGTTAATCATTTTAATGCTATAAATGGTAAAAAGTATCAGTGAATTTATAGAGACTCGAGGTTGTGAATATAAGAGTTACTGTCTCTAAAGGCTCAGCCTTGTGTATTACGTCTGAATATAGAAGATTTTCTGCCCTCCACTCCAGTGATCAGTCATAAAGACATCAGTGGGACGTCCGGAGACGTTGGACAGCGCCACCCCCGTATCGCTGCACAGCCACGGCCGAACTCAGTCAATTCCACTAACCCTTAACCACTAACCCCTAACCCCTAACCCCTTAATCCCTAAACCACCAGTGAACCTACACGTGCCTTCTCAGGTTTATATGGAATGCTGATGATGGGAAAATAGTGGAAAATCTGAAATAATACGTTTTCTTTGGGGACTATTTTGCCTCACAGCACCCTACATTCTACATAGAACCATGAACACTCAAAGAACTATTTACATGGTGAAATCGTTGTTCAGACTGATGGAGAACGTGTTGTATATGGTTCTATATAGCACCAAAGAGGCTTCTTTACAAGCTTGACATTGTAACTATAGCAGTACCCTTTCTTGTGCTATATAGAATCATTCACAAAAAGGTTCCATACAGAAACACATTCTTATTTATTTAAGCAAATGGTTATTTGAGTGTTCATGGTTCTATTTAGAACCATTATTACTAAAGAACCCTTGAAGGGCCATCTTTTTAAGTGTGTATATATTTGTATTTATTTACATTTTTAATATAGTATCTGAATATTTCTGATTTTATTACAGGAGGTTGCAAACTGCAAGGCTTACTTAGCGTGAGACTGACAGATTGACCAAACAGATTAATTTATTTCTCCACATGCTAATTTAGCCTGAAATGGGACTGAGGTCAGATGACTTTTGGCATCCGGAAAAACTACAAAACTCTGTGAGACAGGGATGACACAGATAAGGTTACAGTTCACGGCTCAGTCTTTCATAAATAACATTGAACATGAACACTCTGCTGTCAGATATCCATTATTTTCCCATTAGCCATGAGACTGTCCTGCATTCTTTTATCACTTTTAGCTCTAGTCAGCGAGTAAAAGCCCATCTGAGATTTATTCTTATTTGGTCTCTCTCTCAGTCACTCTCTCTTTTTCTCATCCTCCTACAGTGTCTTTTTCAGTCTCTTCACAGTGTCCGCCATTATGTCCATGCTGTGAAATACCGAGCTGCTTCTTTTTATAGCTACCTGAGGTGTTGGTGTGTGACGTGGTGCTGTAAAGTGTTACGTAGTTCTGGCGTGAGGTTCTCGTGCTGCTCCTCCAAAGTTACATAGTGCTATAGCAGGCATTCCGGCCCAGTGTGGCAACGACAGAGATGCCATTATCACTATTATAAGTCAGTGCAGCATTAAAATCATTTTAAATCTGTTATTTTACAGTGAAATTGTTACACAATGTTGCTTTAATCCAATCTAAGAAATCAGAGTGTGCTGTATACACAACCAATTAATCAGATAACTGCAGAAATCTGATAATGATCGGAATATTACATGCATGTAAACACATTCACTGATGGCTTCAAATAGTTGAAAAACACTGTCAAGCAATTTTATGTTTTAATGTCAGATAAAATATTCTGTAAAATCTGGACTCTGACCAAAACCATCACTAAAACTATTACATTTTCTTTGCACAGCAGTGCACATGAAGTAAAATAAAAAGGTATGTTCATGTTATTCAACAGCTTGTAGCAGACAGTAACCCAGAAAAGTGTCTCAGCAGCTCTAATGCTGTTAATGTCAGCTACGGCAGCACTAACAGTGCTCTTTAGTGTGAGTACATGCAGAACTAAAGAGCTGTAGTTTATAACAGCTGGTGTTTCAATGTATTACAACCATGTTGATCAGGAAATGCCAGTAATGTATTCCAGGTTTGTCTGACACTAGAGGGCGCTCCCTAGTAAGTCCAAAATGAATGGGTTCTTAAGGAGCTTTTGTGCATAATTCTAAATGTTTGATCCTTTTTATATATAAAAATGCACACATTTTCTGAAGACAAAAAAGCATAAAATACTTCAACACAACTTATTAGCAGTAATGCTAATCAATCAGTTCTCAGTTACAGTAAGGTTAGCATCCTACTGTCTGTAGCTAAACAGTTAAGTTTACTTTGATTTTTAATCCTTTTTCCTTTTCATAGTTAAAGGAAAGTCAATTTGTTATTGATATTGTTGTGCCAATACTAGTAAACTGGTACATGGGTCCATGACCTGATGTGCCTTTTTGTGTCCAAGTCCATTATCTTCCCAAAAATTGCATATATAAAATTATTCAACAATACCTCTGTGAAACAATTTTCAATGCATCCATATAAAATCCCAAAGTCTAAAAATGTCAGGTGGTGCAATGGTCCAACCACATATGTTGATTAAGTAAACTAACTAAAAAGGTAATTTAGTTATAAAGCTCAAAATAAAATAGTTTGGCATGATTTTATAGATTTTTGAAAACTTTAAAATAAAAACAGTGTTGGAAAATATGGCAACTTTAAAAGTGCTCAGCAACTAAAAACAAAGGACTTATTTTGGACATGCTCTTACAAAATAGGGGCCAGGGTATCTCATCATAAAGAAGACCCCAAGGGAACTTCATGTTGCAATGCCAAGGTCACAGATTTGGTAAAATGTGATGTTTTAGTCGTGGTTAGAACGGTTCAGTTTAACCACGTCAGGTGGTCTGACCCCAGGAGAACCATGAAAAATACAGAATTATTATAATAATGTTTAATTATTTGAAAAAAAAGAGTAAGTTTAAACTCAAGTTGAAGGACAAAGATTTCTACAGGTGCCTAAGTAGATGCCTGCTTAATTTAAAATTAGTCTGAAAAGTCAGGAGTAAGGAGTTAAATTTTGGCCAGAAGTTTCAAATAAAATTATAAAATCCACAAGCAAAATG